TGTCTTCCTCGGCGGTGGGAGGCGCGAGTCCTCAGCGCTTGGCTGGGAGCCGGTTGGGCTGCGCTTGCCGTCGAACACCAGCTGCTGTGCTGTGGATCGCGGTTAATTTGTTCGTAGTTAATGAACTTTTGAAGAGTTTAGTTGAACAGGGATAAGTAGGGATTTGGGCTTCAGCCACCGCCCTTTCTTACTGAACTTGGTAGAACATGGAAAGGATACACTTCCATTTGTTTTCTTGAAAGCCAGGATCTCTGCAGACGCATAAACTGGCTTGATGGGAGATGCTAATTTGTTCTTTTTAAACTCCCTTGGATTCTGGAGCATATTGTGTTCCCAGAACAGGCACTCGCAAGGGTTTTGTACTCTTATTTGAAGTGAGTCCTTTGCTGATGCGTAAGGTGTGTGAAACTACTTCAAGACTGCCACCAGTTTGCAGTCTGAAAGACGAGTTGTTATTCTAGTGGCTTGAAGAAACCTTATGGTAGAAGTGTGTAGTACGCAGAGTGCTTGGATGGTGTGTACGTATTCCACATCGCCATATGCTTCGTGTGGCTGTAGACGGTCTGTGAACTGATGTTGATTGTCTTAGTTCTTTATTTCGCAGGAGGTTATGAGGGGGGTGGTGGTGGTGCAAGTTTTCCAGCTGCACGTTTTAATTCTTGTGCAGTACTGAATTTCATATTGTGTTATGACTTCATGAGTATCCATGGACACTTTCAGATATGCAGAAGCGATATTACAACAGGCTGTCTTAACAGATTCAAGGTGGCAGGGCTTGGCTGATGGTTAGTTTTTCCTTTTTAATTTGGGGGAGGGCTGATAAGCCTGCAGGATAGGGTCTGATTCTGAGGCACTCTGCCCGGGACACTTCTCAGATTGCTCTAACCCTGTCGTGCGAGACTTGTGCCAGACCGACGGGAGAGAGGTGACAGGCTGGTGACAGGCCTGCGTCCCGGCACGCGTGGTTGTCCCAGGGGCTGGCTGTGCTGGGCTGCTGTGGGAGTGCTCCGGCAGGTCCCCCCGCGGGCAGCCTTCCTCCCTGGGGGCTCGTGTTCCTCTTGCCGTGGTAGCCCGTGTGCGGTGCGGCCGGGCAGGGGACCGGCAGCCCGATGGGGAGTCTTGCCTCTGTGGGGAGCTGGAGCCGGGGAGAGGCAGCCGCAGTGCCCCCACTGTAACTTTCCTTTGAGAAACCTCCCTTGCTGTGGGGTTTCTGTCTGCTGCCGTGCCCTTTTACTCCTCCCTGTCCTGGTATAAAGGAAAGATGAAGTTGGTCTTTTCTGAGACAGAAGTGAGAAGTAAATGGAAAATGTCGTACTCTATGTACATACCAGGAAAGGTTGTCATGGTGGGAATCTTCAAAAGCATACAT